TTTGCCTGGCGGCACAATATTACAGTCTCGAGTACAAAGTAATATATAACACTCTGTTCTCAGAGTGTTGTTTTGTCAATAAAAAGTAAACTGTATACCTGTTGGTGTCTCAGACCATGTATTGTTGTGTGGGAGGGAGAACCAGAATGGGTTATTAATATTGCTATGCAGAATATATATCATAGAGATAGTGTGGGTTTAAGACAACAATAGTGGAGAAATTCCTGAGTAATTCTCAAAGTCCCTAAGTGCTTGTGCCTTCGAGGGCACCCCTTAAATAAAGCCTGCAAATCCCTAAACACTGGTCTATACAGCCTCCCGCCAGAAATCCTGCCTAGGAAGCAGAGAGTGCAAAAACCCTGCTCACTAATTACACTAAAACGTGAACAGTTTAATTTCACAGAAGTGTGATTGACTTGGAGTTACATTGTGTTGTTTAACCCCTAAAGGACCAAACCTCTGGAATAAAAGGGAATCATGACATGTCACACATGTCATGTGTCCTTAAGGGGTTAAGTGTTCCCTTTATTTTTTTGAGCAGTGTATATTATATAAATTGCTGATTAAATATCAGAATAAACTGTCAGCTCCTTGTATCCGCAATTGCTCATGATAGTGCAGTAAAGTGGCTGTCTGCACGTATCAGAGCTTAACTAGGTAGTAGAGCTACAGAAGCTGGAGATTGCTGGAAGTCTATTTCAATGTGCAGTCACTGTTGGTGCAGTGACTCATGGATAGCGCTGGTGTTTCCCCTGACGCGCGTTTCACCTCTCTGGCACTTCAGAAGGGAACTAGGTCTCTAGTGGAGCCCTGTTAAATATGTTTGAGTACAAACTGATTGGCTGGTTTGAAAACTTTTCAGCCAATCAGATCTCACGAGAGTTAACTCTAGCCCCGCAGGCTAGAGTCTCTCTCCACTGGCCCACCAGGGATGGCACATGGCAGCAAGGATCCCCCTCCCTACATAAGGTAAGAAGGGAGGGGGGATATTTACTAATCTGCCCCCAACTCCACAATCCCTCCAAACATACAGCACACACACATACATACACACAGCACACTACCAGCACCCTCACACACAAACAGCACCCACACACACACCCTCACCCACATAGCACACTAACAGCACCCTCACACACACATCATACTACCAGCACCCTCACACACACACACATCACACACTAACAGCACCCTCACACCACCCTCACACAGCACAATAACAGCACACACACACACACACACACACACACACACAGCAGTGTATGTGTGTGTATATATATATGTGTATATATGTGTGTGTGTGTGTATGTGTATATGTATATATATATATATATATATATATATTTGTGTGTATATATATCTGTGTGTGTGTGTGTGTGTGTGTGTGTGTGTGTATATATATATATATATATATATATATATATATATATATATATATATATGAACCATGTGGGGGTTGCACTTACCTGAACATGCTTTCTGCGTATTGTTTAATATATATATATATATACACATGCGGCGTGTGTTTGTGCTTTAGGGTGCACACCCTAATGCAATAGGCTGCACACGTCTATGTGCACTATTATTTATTTTTTTCCTCTTCTTACATGCTACGATATTCCATAAGTCCTGAGGCTACCATAACATCATTTAGTGATATGCCTACCATCAATGTAGGTTTGTGAGTGCATTTTTTTTTCATTCCCCCCCCCCTCTCATCTTTTTAACATTATTGCAAAATTATTGCATGTTTTTTTCTGTTATTATTGTATTATAGATTACCTTTGGGTATCTTTTCTATATTGTTTTGAGTACCAGGAGGAGCCCTTTGTCTACAATGCCATCAGTCAAATGGTAATTGTTGTCATTTTTACCTATTACCCATTGAGTGTGTTTCTATCCACTAATTCTATCTGTACATACTACAGGGAGTGCAGAATTATTAGGCAAATGAGTATTTTGACCACATCATCCTCTTTATGCATGTTGTCTTACTCCAAGCTGTATAGGCTGGAAAGCCTACTACCAATTAAGCATATTAGGTGATGTGCATCTCTGTAATGAGAAGGGGTGTGGTCTAATGACATCAACACCCTATATCAGGTGTGCATAATTATTAGGCAACTTCCTTTCCTTTGGCAAAATGGGTCAAAAGAAGGACTTGACAGGCTCAGAAAAGTCAAAAATAGTGAGATATCTTGCAGAGGGATGCAGCACTCTAAAAATTGCAAAGCTTCTGAAGCGTGATCATCGAACAATCAAGCGTTTCATTCAAAATAGTCAACAGGGTCGCAAGAAGCGTGTGGAAAAACCAAGGCGCAAAATAACCGCCCATGAACTGAGAAAAGTCAAGCGTGCAGCTGCCACGATGCCACTTGCCACCAGTTTGGCCATATTTCAGAGCTGCAACATCACTGGAGTGCCCAAAAGCACAAGGTGTGCAATACTCAGAGACATGGCTAAGGTAAGAAAGGCTGAAAGACGACCACCACTGAACAAGACACACAAGCTGAAACGCCAAGACTGGGCCAAGAAATATCTCAAGACTGATTTTTCTAAGGTTTTATGGACTGATGAAATGAGAGTGAGTCTTGATGGGCCAGATGGATGGGCCCGCGGCTGGATTGGTAAAGGGCAGAGAGCTCCAGTCCGACTCAGACGCCAGCAAGGTGGAGGTGGAGTACTGGTTTGGGCTGGTATCATCAAAGATGAGCTTGTGGGGCCTTTTCGGTTGAGGATGGAGTCAAGCTCAACTCCCAGTCCTACTGCCAGTTCCTGGAAGACACCTTCTTCAAGCAGTGGTACAGGAAGAAGTCTGCATCCTTCAAGAAAACATGATTTTCATGCAGGACAATGCTCCATCACACGCGTCCAAGTACTCCACAGCGTGGCTGGCAAGAAAGGGTATAAAAGAAGAAAAATCTAATGACATGGCCTCCTTGTTCACCTGATCTGAACCCCATTGAGAACCTGTGGTCCATCATCAAATGTGAGATTTACAAGGAGGGAAAACAGTACACCTCTCTGAACAGTGTCTGGGAGGTTGTGGTTGCTGCTGCACGCAATGTTGATGGTGAACAGATCAAAACACTGACAGAATCCATGGATGGCAGGCTTTTGAGTGTCCTTGCAAAGAAAGGCGGCTATATTGGTCACTGATTTGTTTTTGTTTTGTTTTTGAATGTCAGAAATGTATATTTGTGAATGTTGAGATGTTATATTGGTTTCACTGGTAATAATAAATAATTGAAATGGTATATATTTGTTTTTTGTTAAGTTGCCTAATAATTATGCACAGTAATAGTCACCTGCACACACAGATATCCCCCTAACATAGCTATAACTAAAAACAAACTAAAAACTACTTCCAAAAATATTCAGCTTTGATATTAACCCCTTAAATCGGGAGGACGTACAATTACGCCCTCTAATAGGCGGCTCTAAACGCCGCCGGGCGTAATTGTACGCCCTCCGTTTTTTGTTAACTTACCCGGTCGCCGGTGGTCCCACGCCGGCGATCGCGGTGGGGGGGACTCCCAGGGAGCCCCCCCGCGGCAGATCCTTCTCCTCCGGTGCTCCCCGACCATGTGAGAGTGGGGTCCTAGCGAGGACCCCACAATCACATGGCCGGGTAGGCTGCCTCCTGCATTGCCAGCAGGGGGCTGCCTGTAATGACAGGTGGTCCCCCTGCTGGCTGAAAATAAAATTAAAATTACATTTATTGGTGTAAAAAATAATAATATATACTTAGATCATATGTATATATTATATATATATGATCTAAGTATATATATACACATATACATACACACACGTACACCGTCTAGGTGTATTTTACTATTAATATATATATAATGATATATATATTAATATCAAATTACACGTAGACTGATACTGATTAAATATATATATAATTATTGTTATATATATATATTTATATATAATATAAAAAAATATGTAAATACGTTTAAAAATAAAATTAAAAATAATTAAAAATAAATAATTAAAAAATATATAGATGTGTGTTATTTCGCTCTAACTGTATTGTGAAATTAATATATATATATATATATCAAAATACACATAGAACGAAATAATATATATATTTATACACATAAATATATACGTATATATCACTATATATATACCTATATATAAATAAAAATATTTTAAAAATTATATAGATATATACATATGCCATACACATACGTATATATATATTAATTCTACATATATTTATGTAATATTTTTACATAATTAGGTATCTTAATTACAATTAGCAGGACCTGCCTGACAACCCATGCCGAAAGTAAAGTGAATTTAATTTGCTAGCACTATATTTAACCCTATAACTTTCCAAGACACCATAAAACCTGTACATGGGGGGTGTACTGTTCTACTCGGGAGACTTCGCTGAACACAAATATTAGTGTTTCAAACAGTAAAATGTATTACAACGATGATATCACCAGTAAAAGTGAAGTTTTTTGCATTTTTCACGCACAAACAGCACTTACACGGATGATATTATTGTTGCGATACTTTTTACTGTTTTGAAACACAAATATTTATGTTCAGCGAAGTCTCCCGAGTACAACAGTACCCCTCATGTACAGGTTTTATGGTGTTTTCAAAAGTTACAGCATCAAATATAAGGCTTGCGTTTCATCATAGGGGTAATTTTCATTCTTGGGCTACTATACAGTCTCAAAGGCAACGTAACCAATCTGGCAAATTTCAATTTCAAATGTAACGTGCTATATTTGACCCTGTAACTTCCCAAAACGCCATAAAACCTGTACATAGGGAGTACTGTCTTACACGTGAGACTTTACTGAATATAAATATGTGTATTTTATTGCAGTAAAAGCAAACAGTATTATGACATTGACCGTTAAAATGTCATGTAGAACTAAAAATTTTTTAAAAAAACGTATTTTCTCCCATTTTTTTCATATTAAATTATGTTTCACAGCTAAATATTTGATATTAAATGAAAGCCCTGTTTCCCCTGAATAAAATGATATATAATAAGTGTGGGTGCATTTACTATGAAAGAGGTGTATTACGGTTGGACAGACATGTAGCGCAAATGCCAGGTTTTGTTTACATTTTGTTTTGTTCACAATGTGTACATTTGGCTCCGTCCTTAAGGGGTTAATGAGTTTTTTGGGTTCATTGAGAACATGGTTGTTGTTCAATAATAAAATTAATCCTCAAAAATACAACTTGCCTAATAATTCTGCACTCCCTGTATATTTTGCTATATTTTACTGGTGCAAAATCCCTGTAATTTAGAGAATAACATGTATAGGATATAGGTGGTTTTAAAAAATATTTGATTCTGAAACGTCTTTAATTGGATCTCTAACTCACAGCACTATCTCTTGCCTGAAGGCAAATTGCAAATCAGGTAAGTAATAGTAATGGTTGATTGTCTCTTTCATTTGCACAGAATATGCAGAGATGCCTTATTTGTGCTTTTCAGCATATATTTTGTTCATATGCATGTTTTCTGTGAGTGTTGCAAAGCATTTGGCTATCCCTTGTGAGTAATGAGCCGTGGAAGGATTAAAAGGAAGATCTGACCCTGCTACATCAGTTGTATGGGAAATATGTTTACAATAAGAAATAATATAATTATTACAAGGAAAGTAATATCTTTCCATCATTTTATAATTTTATGATAGTAATTTTAACATTATATAATAGCAATTTCAGATATTTTTTTGCCAATTAAAGGGTTTTAATAATCATTCAGTTCTTTAATATTTTTGCAAGGCTAAATTATGCAAAAAGAATTCCCTCTTCATACTTGCATACCATTTCAAAAGCACATTTAATTTTATTTCTAGTGGAATGACCTATATTGTGGCCATTAATTCTCAGGTTATTTGAGGAGAACAGTCATAATAAGCATTTACTCCCAAGACTCACCTGCACAATGACCATGTCACTATAAAATATATGATTATATAATGCTTATATATGTGAGTCAGCAAAAGGTACATTATATATATATATATATATATATATATATATATATATGTGTATATATATATATATATATATATATAAAATGCATACTAAATATGCTATGCACCTTAAATACTTGTGCTTATTTATTTCACTGTTTATTACTTAAAAAAATATAAATGCTGAAATTTAATATCAAAAGGATATTTTTTATTCAAGAACGTATTAAGCTTGTCAGAAGAAGTTTAATTTCCCCCAGGAAAACTGCTTCTAGCAAGAAATAGAATACCTGCAATCTAGAATATTTTCAAATGGTTCTTTATTTTTTATATTAATCTTAAAGCTATAACAATTCTTCCTAAAAACAAATTGTATAATTTCTGTATATAGAGCTGCATCCAGTAATTCATTTTTACAAGTAATTCAATATATACAAGAAAAAAATGACATTGTTATATACTCAATTGTGAAATATACGTACCATGTGGCTGTTCAAAAGTGTTTGACAATTTACATTAGGCTAGACAAATTATCAGAAGTCTTGCCATTCTTCGTAATATATCTGCAAGTTCAATTAGAGCTCAATGAAACATAATCTAAAGAGGTAAATATTGTAAATACAGCATACAATATATGGTTCAAATGTTTACTTTTTACTTTTCCTTAACTTCAGCGAAAGCTGAGGGAACATTTAAATCAATATAAACAGGTAGGTTGTACAACGTGAAGAAGAAAAAATAAATAAAAAATAAAAAATGGTCATGTCAATGAAACCAGTCTAATATGGGCACAGATTAAACCACTGAAGAGCATCATCACTAAGAACTGAGAAAGAAAATAATGTATCTAGCATCAGATTCAGGTAAAATTGATGAATACTGCCAAAAGCATTCTCAGTTGCTGCATAGAAAGAGATATACTGTCTTATGCTGCAATCACTCTGTGTACACTGAGGAAATCTCTCTACTAATGTAAGAAATGGTATCAGCAGGGGGATCTCTGATAATAACAAGGAATTAGAGATAGTTCAAGGTTTGGGCTAGGGGTGATTTAAAGGATAAAGGGCTAGAGCTAAATTTGGTAAGGTTTAACCCCTTAAGGACCAAACTTCTGGAATAAAAGGGAATCATGACATGTCACACATGTCATGTGTCCTTAAGGGGTTAAAGAAGGTGTGTGGCTAATTGTAAAAGCAGAGTTAGGATTGGGAACTTGCTTAGTTTTGTTCTAGATAGGGAGCATACGTTTGTTGGAGGTTTAACGGAGAATTAGAGTTAGGTATTACCTGCCTTCATGACATGGTGATCTGTAACGCTCATTATTCTCTGCCAGTTTTTCCTTTGCCTAATTAAAAATTATGGGAATTACAGCCACCATATCATTATGACAGGTACCCTCATATCACTTCTAAACATAACAACTTAGCAAGTAAAACAGAATACAGATAGCGCCAAAGAGAACAAGCAAGAAAGATAAGAGATCTAAAAGATCTCTAAAACACAATAAAAAGAGTCTTTGATATAGCCCAACAGTAAAAGGAAAAAAAAACACCAGTAAGTATGACAAGCTTAAAAATAATAGCATTCCATCTTCCAGTATTCATAAACTGCTCATGGGACAACTTCAGTCAATTGCTGCATATGAAAAGAAAACAAATAGGGGTAGACCAACAGTGCAATATGATACTATACTAGGTAACACACAATACAGAGGTCTAAAAATGGCAACTCACATCTAGTAGAGCTATAACCAGCTCTGGATAAAACAGCATGCAGTGGTATTATATCCCCATTTGCAGGATATTCTTCAGGCAATGGTTTACCGTAGAATGATGATGGAGTTGAACATATGAAATGACAGAAAGGAGGTCAATAGTGCTCTCTATATGTGGTTAGTATGAAACGCAAAAAGTAGAAATATGCTTACAGTAGATGGAGGAGACTAACCGTTCTCTGTATCAGGCATGGGTGGTATAATCCCCACCTAGGATTCTTTATAGTCATCCATAGGGGTATCTGGAGGTAAGTGCAAATTGCCAGGTAGAATCAAAAATAGAAAATAAAAACTAAAAAGTATATGTCAAAAATACTTTATTAGCAAAATACAGAATAAAACCACAACACGTTTCACCCTCTTGGGGCTTTTTCAAGTCTATAAACAGCAAATACCTGAAAGCTATACTTCTAAGGGTTACCAATTTAAAAAAAATGATGACAAATCAAATATCAAATCAAATCCAAGATACCATTAGAGGAATAAGAAGAAACAGCTATATATGGTGTAGACAACCCATAAATAAAATAGGCTGAACAATGAAGTAGCAGGAATACAGGTGGATACAAGTAAGAAAAAAAAACTGAAATGGGAGTATTTGCTAAACCTCTCACTGTCCCAAGGCTAACACAATACCCCCAGGCATACAGATACCTGCCTATCTCTAAGCTTACCTAAGATCTGGTTTAAAACGCTTTTATTTGTGTCATCAAAAATTTACAACAGTGCGAAGGGATAGCAACATAGGAGACACGCAAGTCTCGATGAATCGGGAACAGCAATATGATTATAAATCAATGTAAACTTAAACAGTATTAGCAATTAGAAGGTAATACGGCATCAGTATCGGTAAACTCGTTATGTTACATGCGTTTAATATGCAGATGTCTGCTTTCTATGGTCGTACAGTGAGGGGTGATTGTGTCAACTCTGGGTGATCCAGTTAGTGACTGTGTAGAAGATGGCCAAGAATGGTTGCATGTAGCCTAGGAATATCTTCTAGGCGGGTAGGGGCCACTATAGCATCTGTGGTATAGCTAACTTGAAAGCTGAGTTGGTAGGGGAGACTTGTCGTCCCGTACAATATTGGTATATAGTGGGTTTCCATTGAGTCTTATTTCCTTTGACCACGCTCACCCTGCGCAGGCCCTGTTTTGTCGCATGGGTAGTGTAATCAGTTGGGTCAGTCTATAATAGTGGGCAGTATTGTATTAGCGGAGTATCCATATATCACCCGAGGCCCAAGCGTGCCGCACCCTCCAGTTTGGTTGCGGTTGGGACTAGTGCACACGGTCTGTGAGGACAGACTCTTGCGCTAGGGCAGGGAAAGAGAGCAAGCGGTGTAGAAAGGAGAACAAGAAGATAAGAGAGGATGGGGAAAAGAGAGAAAAAACAAAAACAAAAAAAGGGGGGGATTTTGAGGAGCACCGTGTGTTGTGCCCTTGATATTCTTGGATCCGTGGTGTTCCATGCAGTTTGGTGTTACCCACTCTGGGGCGCGGTCGGGGGGAGGGAAGGGGTGCCCCTCACAGGCCCCGCCCTCCTCTGGGCCCTGCCTTCCCCCAGCCACCATGCCCCGCCCAGCCACGTAGGCCAGCCACGGCCGTCATCTCTCAACATGCTTCTCCTCCATACCTATCAATGAGGCTTGTATCGATTCCGCCCTGTATATCTCCTCCACTCGTTCCATCCATAGTCCGATCGTCGGGGTTACATCTTGCTTCCAGTGCAATGGAATCAGAGCCTTGGCGGCGTTCAGCAGGTGTCGGAGTATGGATCTCCTATACACTCCTATGGTGTCTGTTGTAGAGTGTAGGAGAGCTGTCTCTCTTTCCAATATGCCGTCCGTCCCCAGTATTTCCTCCGTTTGTCTTTTGACATTGTCCCAGAACGGTGTGATGCGCGGGCATTCTCACCAGATATGTAGGATCGTTCCTCATCCCTCTCCGCATCTCCAGCATGTGTCAGGTACCGCCGGGAAGATTCTGTGCAGGTTGTCGGGCGTTAGGTACCAGAACGATAGGAGCTTATAATTGGTTTCCTGATAGTTGGAGCTAAAGGAGCATTTGTGATGTAGGACCAGGATCTTTTCCCATTGAGCTGCAGTGAATGATGTACCCAAAATGCGTTCCCAGGAGAAAGGTGTCTGCGTTCTCCAGGTGACCTACATGGAGGTGTTGGTAAATGAGGGATGTTGACTTGTCTAGGTTGGTCCTTCGGTCACAGAGTGCCTCAAACCACGTCAGGTCCCTATGTAGGGCTTCTCTGTGCATTAGGGTTTGGTAGAAGTATTTCATTTGTGTGTAGCAGAAGATTTGTATAGTGAATGGTTGGTTGTTTTTTGTCTGTCAATTCCTGCAGTGGTAATATGCCTGTGTTGTTCAGCATCTAATAGATGGGAAGGGATTCTCCCCCACCCAGGATACTCCATGATGACGGCGGTAACCCACCCCCTATCTGAGGGTTATACGGTATCTGTATCATCGGGCTCGGTGTTGGAGACAGCTG